GGGGGGGGGGGGGGGGGGGGGGGGGGGGCGGTTCTCTCCTGGGAAGTAATGGAGAGGGGTCAGAGGTGTTGAACTGAAATTTTAGATTGTTTAGAACAAAAGAAGGGCAAAGGAGAACTTGTACTCCTAATTTTTTGTTTTTTTGTTTTACTGTGGTAGAACTCAGGATACATTTTTAGACTGGTCTGTGGTAGGGTCTTTCCAAGAAAAGTGAAGAACGAAACCATGGCTGACAGGAAGAACGTTTAATGAGGCAGTGGTTTTCATCCTTTTTACTCGGTCAAAATAATTCATCATATAATAAAAGAGAATAATCATATAATTATCTCAAATGCAATAAGAACAAGCATCTGACAAAATTCAACAGGCTTCCTTCAAATAACACTGAGAATACTGAGAATAGAAAGGAACAGTCTTGATCTGATAAAGAACGTCTATAAGAAACCTGTAGGTAGTTTCATCATGAATACCGAAACACTTTGCTTTTTTTTTCTAAGATGGGGAACAAGATAAGGATGTTATCTTTCATCTGGGACAATCCTATTGTAATAAGCAAAGAAATAAAAATAGAAGACATACAGATTGGAAATGAAGAGATAAAACTACTGTTTTTGACAGACGGTCGATTTTATGATCACCCTTTGAAATTCACAAAAGAGTTACTGGAAATAATAGGTGAGTTCAGCAAAACCATGGAATAAAAAGCCAATATACAAACTCAAGTGTAATTCTTTATACTAGTAATGGAAATTTGAAAAATGAAACTTGTTAATAATACCACGTATAATACCATAAAAATTAAATACCAGGATATAAGTCCCTTGAAACATGTACAAATTGTCTACAATGGAATCTACAAAATACTGCCAAGAAAAATGAAAGACCTAAAAATTGGAAGATTGGAAAGACCTAAAAATTGTTAAGATATCTATTCTGCACAAACTGTGGAGTTTATATAGTCTATACATTTTTGACTCTATACGTTATAGAGTCTATGTATTTCATGCAATCCAAATCCTAGGAGGAATTTTCAAAGAAATCGAGAAACTGTTTCTACAATTTATGTGAAAATGCAAATGATCTAGAATAGTTGGAACAATCTTGGGGAGAAAAGAACAAAGACTTACACTGACTTGAAGGTTTACAATAAGGCAATACTAATCCTAACTGTGATATTTGCATGAACATATAAACAGAAAATAATAGAGAGTAGAGTAATAGACCCACATATTTACAGCCTATTGATTTTTGACCAGGGCACCATGTCAGTTCAATGGAGAAAGAAAATTTTTTCACAAGTGTTGCTGAAAAAATTGGGCATCGCTGTGGGGGAAAAAATGAAGCTTAACCCTCCCCTCATCCTATATACAAATATTAATTCACAGTGGACAATGTGATCATAGTGAACATAAAAGCTGGAACCATAAATACTTCGTGAAGATCCATAGGAGAATATCTCCATGATGTTGAGATAAAAACAAACAAGCAAACAAACAAACAAAAACAAACACAAACAAAAACTTAGGACACATAAAACACTAACCATATAAGAAAAATTGATCAGTTGGGTGTTATCAAAATTAAAAATGTCTGCCTCTCAATGATTTCATTTAAAAAAAAGGAAGAGATAAGGAGGTAAGCCTGGAACAATTCTCACCTTACACCTATATGAAGAGGGATTTATATACAGAATATATTTTAAAAATTTCCACACATCAACAATATGAAGAGAAACAACACAATTTAAAAATGTGCAGAAGACTTTACTTTCACTGAGCAATACATGAATCTTATTGGTGAATAAGGTCATGAAAAAGGTTCAACATCATTAATCATCAGGGAACTGCAAATTAAACCATAATGAGGTTGATTTGTCACCCACTGAAATAACTAAAAGGAAAAGAAGCCTGACAATACCAGTCATTGGTGAGGATTGACTCAATCATAAGAGCAGTCTCATACATAACCGTAGGAAACATAAAATGGTACAGTTTGCCAAGTTGACAGTTTCCAAAAAGGGACCAGTCCTAGGTATCGAGCTAAGAAAAATACAAACACAAGTCCACAAGAGTGTCCACAGTCTCCAGATCCACAGTAGGTACAACATGAAACCACCCATGTGTCCACCAACAGGGATAGGTTAAACATACCGGGTACAGCCATACAATGGAATACCGCTCAGTAATACAGAGGAACAAACAACTGACACATGCAAAACATCGATGAAGCTTCAAAATGTTACATTGTGTGGAAGTAGGGAGTCACAATGCTGCGCGCCTAACTTTACTGGTAGAAATTTCAAGATCTGACAAAAGGAATCCATAGAGACAGAAATCAGAACACTGCCTCTGAGGAGAGGGATTGACTGGGAAATGGAAGGATGGAACGTCCGGGGGTGATGGAACTATTTCTATCTTGTTTGGGATGATAGCCACACAAGTATGCGTAATTGTCAAGACTCATCAAACTTAAAATCTTGCCTTTTATCGTATGCAAATTTGACTCAAGCAAGAGCAATTCTTTGTGTCTTTATAATCCACCAGAATTTAAACCCGGGTCATAAGGTAGACACGTCACTGGTTTGGGCTGTATTCATTGTATTTCACACTACCTTGTGTGGTACATGAAGCACTTGTCACTCTGATGGTACAGATGAAGGAAGCGAGAGAGGTCGGTGGTGCTGCTGGCAGGAGAATCCAGGCTTCTGGAAGTTCTGCGGTCTCTCTGTGAGCATAGGCTTGGAATCAGGCTATGAGAGCTGAGAAAGACCTCAGAGCTCTTCTTCTCCATCCTTAGTTTGCAGAAACCGAAGCTCAGATGACTTGGGAGGTGGTGTGTAAGTTTGGGAAAGGAAGCACTGCAGAAAAGAGCTCAGAGTTGCTCCTGGGGCCAGCCCTGTCTGGTCCTGTGAAGTGTTTCCCTTGTCCCTTCCCGTTCTAACCCCATAAGATAAGTAAGGAGTATGCCTGATTCACCTGAATACCCCTCCAGAGCTCTTCCTCTCCCTGCCCTTCTCAAAGAGATACTCAGCTCATGTTCAGGAAATGTAAACGTTGAATACTTGCAAAGCAGCATATAATACAGACAGTTAAAATATAGTTAAAAAGAAAGTGTATCAAAAACAGGGAAGAGATTATTATAAACTCCTTGTTGTGATATCCTATGTACGTACTTGCTGTAGAAAGAGCCCAAATTAGTCTCCATGCTGTCAAGTAGCTAATGCAAAGAGGTAAATACAATCAGCTCCAAAATGCCCTGTGTCCATCCACCAAACAAATGTCTGTATGTCCAGGTGGGTGGGGAATCAGGATTAAAGGCACATCTATTCCTGCTGGCGAGGGTGGAGAAGTATCCTTCAGAGGTGTTCATTGCGAGAGGACTTGGAGTATCATCCACGTTTCAAAAAGCACAATGAGATGTTGCCATTTATTGAATTCTTCTCTGGTCCAAAGAGTCTTCTTCTACTTTTTGATTTGCACAAAAATACAAAGAGTTTGGTATGGTTTATTCTCATGCTACCTAAGGTAATTTTGGAGAACTTTTGGAGAAGTTGAGTAACTTACTCATAGTCACACAGCTGGTTGAGAGCAGAGGATAGATTGTTGATTCCAATTAGGTGATGCTGACCAATCATTTATAGGGCATCCTTCTCACAGGCTTTGTTTTTTTTTCTTTGTTTTGTTTTGTTTTTTACTAATTCAACAAAATCAGATGTCACCACAGAAAAGCACAATAGCCCACCAGCATAGGGAGAATCAGATTTAGCAAATTAAAATACAAGATTCGCAGCTAAATTTGAATTTCAGATCAATTTCATATGAAAATTCATTCTTGGAATTCAACTTTAACTGATGTCTTGTAATTTATCTGGTAACTTAATCCAGGGAGTATAGATTCAGATTATAGGGTACATAGAAGGATGGGTAACTGCAGATCCTTTAGGCAACCTTCCAGAAATGTGATCTCTTTTCAAGCAAGGCTCAGTAAGGCATTGAGTGACAATGCAAAATTATACTTGCTGTCGAGGGTCTGGAGTGCAGTTTTCTTTTGTAGCTAAATCTGAAATCATACACGTTTTAAAGCAGCTCAGCTGAGGGTAAGATCTCCATCCACCTGTAAAATCTGAGCTCTGACAGGACTCCCAGCCTGAGAGGACACTGCTGAGTTCCGTATCCACTGATGGGCTCTGTGGCCCCTGAGGCTATGTGAACCCCTTCAAGGAGTGGTCTTGACTGCATACCTTGACATCACTTTTGTCAAAGGGTTCTGTCAAAATGCTTTACTAATTTCATAGAAATGTTACAACAAACCAATTTCTCAAATTAAAAAATAAAAATAGGGGGCGCCTGGGTGGCTCAGTCGGTTAAGCATCCAACTCTTGGTTTCGGCTCAGGTCATGATCTCACAGTTTGTGAGATCGAGCACCGCATTGGGCTCTGTGCTGACAGCTTGGAGCTGCTTGGGATTCTTTGTCTCCCTCTCTCTCTCTACCGCTCCCCCCACTCTCTCTTTCTCTCTCTCTCTCAAAATAAATAAACAAACATTGTTTTAAGTTCAAAAATTGTAACTGGGAAATATAAAATATGCTGGTATGGTCATTGCAAAATTACTTATAATGATGGCTATTTAAACTCAACACAACTCAAATATACAACAATAACTAATTAGGCATGTCAGCTGTGGCACAACAGTGAAATAGAACTCTATGAATAGTTAAAATGTTAAAATTTAAGTGACATGTCAAGTGTTTTTATTATGATGTTAAGTAGAAAAAAATGTATAAACCCTACACACTGTGCGAGCTCAGCTATATTAACAGAACATTTAAGTACAAGTTAAAAATTTTTTAAATACAAATTGACCCAAATGTTTAAAAGTCATTATCTTAGGATGATGGATTTGTGGATAATACTCACTCTTTTCTTCTTTGATCTTTTCTGTTCTTCTGTAACTTTTAGAGTGAGAAAAAAAATATTTCTAAGGAGAATAAAAATATATCAAAGCGACTTTAGAACTTCAAATACTGATTGTAATGGCAGTTGGGTAAGGGACCCCAATGGTATCCACAATATTGAGATGATAAAACTTAACACCCATTAAAATAAAATATAATAATTTTTGGTGGGTTGGAAACAAGACTTGCCGCTAATATTCTGCTTGTGGGAATCGGAGTGTTCTTCATGGTTACATGCAAATTTCGCTCTGATGCTTTTCGTTTGTTCAAAATGTAGGATACTGGGGCGCCTGGGTGGCGCAGTCGGTTAAGCGTCCGACTTCAGCCAGGTCACGATCTCGCGGTCCGTGAGTTCGAGCCCCGCGTCAGGCTCTGGGCTGATGGCTCAGAGCCTGGAGCCTGTTTCCGATTCTGTGTCTCCCTCTCTCTCTGCCCCTCCCCCGTTCATGCTCTGTCTCTCTCTGTCCCAAAAAAATAAATAAACGTTAAAAAAAATTAAAAAAAAAAAAACAAAACAAAATGTAGGATACTGACAAGGAAAAAAGGGCAGGAGAACAAGAAAGGGAGAGAAAGATGGAAAAAAGAATAGTGAAAAGATCCTAGGTCTTATGGAGAAAGACCAGCAAAAGGAGAAAGGGAAGGAAATGTGGGGTGAAGAGAGGGGGGAGCGAGGATAAAAATTTCGGGGCATTTTGCATCCACCCAGAATCAGGAAAATGGAAGTAAAGTTGCTAGATGAAACCTGAGGCCTGAACACCCTCGACATGTCCCCATTTCTCATGCCTCTGCTCCAGTGTCTGGCCCAGGGGTGTAATCCTGCCAGAAGGAATGCAGATCTAGGAAATCTGGTGCACCAGCACATCAAAGCAAGCGCTACTGCCCCTGGGTACTCAGGGAAGCCCAAGTGGATGTCTTCCTTGAGGGTTTGTTTGGCACAGGCATGTGGTACCTCACGTGCTTCCAGAACTTGGAATTCAGGGACCGTTTGTTGGCCACATCATCTTCCTTCCACTTGATGGTACCTTGCATTTCCACGATGTGCTTGAGGGAATCTTGGAGCTCCCCAAACTGCATCCCTCCTGGCTTGCTCAGAGCCTCTAATTCTATAAGAATCACCTTGGAGTCGTTCTGGATGAGGGCACTGTGCAAGGCGATCTCCTGCTCATAGGCAAACTCCCTGCAGTGAGTGATTTCAGGAGTCAGGATAAAAATGTGCCGCCTACTCTTTTGTATGTTGGTTTCCACTGAGGTGGCTGCATCTGGGGATAAAAGACATGGACCAGATTTCCTGTTGATGCATTTTTAAGTCTAATGCTTTGATCATAAATGTTCTGAACTTTAAAAAACTGTTATTGTTATAGCCTGCCATGAGATTCTGACACTGATCAACTCTTTATTCAGGAAAGTAGGAATGAGCTTGGATGGACAACTTGTGTTCATCTTCTCCTTCTCACTGTCAGAACATCAGTCCCAAAGCCTTCTTCCTTCCCAGGTAGAGGGGTCCTAACTAAAACAGAGTCCTTGGAGTTAAATGGGAATGTAGAGATATTTAGCAAGAGACTTAGAATTCAAGTTCATTAACTACATGTTGCCCTCTTTGAATATTAGCTTATGTGTTTAATAGGGCTTAGAACTTTAACTCTTAGGAACCCTTGCTTCTCTGAACTGATTCAAGCCTCTAGGGGAGTCCTGGATTCATGTCTTTCCCCAAGATCTCGGTTTTAGAAGCTGATTTGATCCAGACTAGAAAAATCTTAAGGAAGACCAGATCCCCTTATCAAGTTGGAGTTAATACAGCATCAACTCCAAGACGATAGCAGGTAACTTCTGGACAGACTTAGAAAGAACATGTAAAATACTCAGCTCTCACTGCAAGGAGGTAACAGCACGATCAAAGAAGCTTAACCATGAATGAAACCACTCAAGATATTCCTAGAGGCTGGCAGCTGAAAGACTGCCAATTCATGTAGTGGGAACTAGGGAAATAAATGTTAAATACTGCCAGGTAGAGACCTTATGTTGGTCAGGATCCCAACATAAAACTTGGCATACTCAAAGGACTGACTTAAGAGAGTTTAATCAAAGGTCAATTTATAAAAAATGTGGGCAGACCCAAGGGAAATCAATGAGAGATACCTCAGAACCCCCAACATTGGAAATAACACAGGAGGCATTACCACCCTCCAGGTATGAAGGGGAGGAAGCAGTTATGGAACCCTAATGAGTATGAAAGCAGCTATCAAGAGCCCTTGCTTTGGGAGAAAGGAGCCCAGCCACCCTGGCAACCTCACAAGATGCCTGCCTCTGACCTGCCCCCAGTGCTCCCTCTTGGCCAAACTCAGCGTGGAGCAGAAGGCAGGGGTGTGATGGATTCCATAATGACCAGCCACCCAGGGCCATTGGATGGAGTGGGATGCAGAGTGGACTTGAAGGAGCAAACAGAAGATACCTAGGAGGGGAAGAAATATACTGATGCAGGCAGTCATGATCTTTTTCTAAGGGAAGAGTGAAGTTTGGTGTTGTTTTGTTAGATCTGATTTTATTTTGGTTGAAGTAAGGTCAGAAGACTTCCCCTTGAGGGAGGGGAAGTAGGAAGTCTTCTCACATGAAAACCAGCACAATGCAGGCTACACGAGCTTGAGCATCAGCGAGCTGTCTGGAACGAGACGGAGCTACAAGTGAGGTCAACGCATCTCAGAAAGAAGAGATGAAGAGCTTGCAGCCAAGTGTAGCAGGTGCTGTGACATCACGAACAGATGGAATCCCTGCAGCTTCCTGTGCTGGTGTGTCACATGAAAAAGAACATTCGAGCACCATGACTTCCTCCTCTCGACTGGCCTGAGTAGCCAAAGGGAGAGTTGGAGGAGGGAGAAAGAATCCAGAGGAAACTTGGATTACATTTTCCTGAATTGTTCATTTTATAAGCCTCCCAAGCCATTATGGGGTGATTAACATTGCCCAAATAAATATTCCAGGACAAACCAGCTTCACCTTCCATGTATTCCTTTAAATCTATAGATGCTGAATCCCTCTTTTCAGTGGAAATGCCAGGTTAAGTTCACAGTCTACTAAGCATTTGCTTTATTGGAATTACCCTCATGATGCTCCTGCCTCATTCATATTCCACATGCTTCCTGGTCCCTGAGGAATTTGAGAAGGGCCTTAAGGAGGGTTCATGGGTACTTGACATAAATGTAGAGAGACAAGGAGAACTGCTTCTGAAATGCCAGAATTACTCTCAAAGGTACATGGAATTGACTACACTTGATGAAACAGAAGACAGCTCTAGTTGTTGTGAGAATATACATCTGCAAATGTTTCCCCTATACAAGGAAAATCATAAAGACTCTGAGGCCTTTCAAATATTGTAGCCAATGCCTCTGGATATTAGAACAAAATTCTTTGTTTTGTGAGTCCTCTTTCAATTCTTCCAGAGAGAACTAAGAAATGTCAGTTATGTTACTGGTGGATGTGGGAGGTAAGTAGGGGCAGTGCTTTGCTAAATCCACCCCGTAAAGACAGCTTACTGTGTCTTCACGTCACTGACACTCCTGCGAAAACGTCACGATCGGTTTGGCTATGGGGGCAGGAGGAGCAAAGAGTAAGTATCTCATTCTTCCAGAGCAATACTTAAAAACCCTGGTTTTAAGGCATGGAATAATGATTGCAATTCCCTATCCAACACAGGGAGAAGACCACCTATCTCTTAGGGTTCTGATGAATGTGAATTTCTGTCCTTAATGTATTTTTTTAAGTTTATTTTATTTTGAGAGGGAGGAAGGGCAGTGAGAGAAGGAGAAAGAATCTCAGTCTCTGTCCGGCGCATAGCCTGAGGCGGGGTTGGATCCAGTGAAACATGGGCTCATGATGAGCCGAAATCAAGAGTTGGTCCTTTGACTGAGCCACACAGGCGCCCCTGTCCTTGATGTATTTTGACAGCTTTACCTTCTCCAGGTAGCATATCTCTCCCGTAAATGCATAAGTTATAACCACATTTATTTTCCAGAACATCAGGCAGAATCTGGTAAACAAAATATCCCACAGCACTGGCCCTCTCAGGACTATTTGTATAGTTCCGCGGATAGATAACGTAAGCATCGTAGATCTTTCCATCTGAAAATGAGAACAAGAAAAGCAACTTTATTACTTGGTTCTCCAAATTTGACTCTCACTAGACATTCTTCACTCGATTTTATGGTTGGTGGTGATTGCATCCCACCCCCCAAAATATTCTGGAATCCAGAGATGGTGAGGACAATCTACTGCTACAGAAAGTCATCAGAAAATCAATCTTAATCCTAAAGTTCACCTCTTCACTGTCTCACACTGAATGAGAGAGAATAGGCAAGAACCCGTCCAGTTTAGCTCATCACATCATATTGTCAAATGTGAGTAATAATTTATTGAGAAATATTTATAGTCATGGATAACGAGTTCTTCTGCTGTTTGGGGCAGATCTCAATTTTATCTTTTGTTTTCTCCGTGCTTACCCAAGGAAATGGAAATGCTCAAGTAGAATTTTTTAAAGGATCTGCATTTCCCACAAATTGAATAATTAGCCCGAATTGAGAGGACCATAGGGAAAATGTAAAATATATCTTCATTCAAAGGAAAGAATGGTGTTCTTGTTTAGCGGGGCACAATTGTATTCTTTCATGTGTCTACTTATGTGCATAGATAGGACTCTTTATGGAATGGGCTTTCTGGCAAAATACACCCGCATTCTGATGGCCCCTTCTACACTGTTCACTTCTGGAAAACGGGAACAATTTTTTTTTAAGTTTTAAATTCCATGAAGTTTCACCAATACACATTTTCCAAACTGTTTAAACCACTCTGGGCTTGGGGCAGATTCTGTTATTTAGTAGGAACAGCAATCCTGCTGGGGAGGAAATCTGAGGTGTTGAGATGAATCTCAGAACCATGAGAAGCAACAAAAAAGGATAGAAAATGGCCACTAAGTGAACTGAAAAAAAAAAAAAAAGGTCTACTCTGAATACATTTATCAGCAAAATCTGGATTTAGTCGACAGCTGTTAAGAGATCAACAGACAAGTAACCATCAGCCATTATGGATCCTTTTCTTCTGAAGGAAAATTTGAAACTCGCCACTTACCATTCCTACTTTTGTAAGGTCTAGCTATGTCTCTCCAGAGCAGAATAAACTCAATCCAGAACACTTTTAGCATTATCACCATGATATTGATTAGCATTAACAAGATGCTAAATCCTGTCAGTATGTAGTAGGTACTTTGATCGTCAACTATTCAAAAGATAAAGGGAAGACAAAAATGATCACTATTGTTTCTAGAACAAGGTAAAATAAACAAATATATATGGACGCTGACCTCCATTGGGCATATGAGAGATTCATACAAAAGATGCTTCCCTGGAATTTTCATGGCTGCTTTAAGAATCAGTAAGTGAACATTTATGGAGCACCTACTCTGTGCAAGGCTAGGCATCGTAGGGGATTCTCAGAGCAAAAAAGGTGTCAAGGCCAATGTAAACTTAACTAAGATAGTAGGTAAAAGTGCGATTTTAGCTGGCAGAGGTTCTTAAGAGTGCTGGTTCCGTGCTGGACTGGGCAAGGAAGCTTTCCTGCAGGAGGAGGTCCCTGAAGAATACGTACGTTTTAGAGAACTTTATTTATTTATTTATTTATTTATTTATTTATTTATTTTTTTTTTTTTTCAACGTTTATTTATTTTTGGGACAGAGAGAGACAGAGCATGAACGGGGGAGGGGCAGAGAGAGAGGGAGACACAGAATCGGAAGCAGGCTCCAGGCTCTGAGCCATCAGCCCAGAGCCTGACGCGGGGCTCGAACTCACAGACCGCGAGATCGTGACCTGGCTGAAGTCGGACGCTTAACCGACTGCGCCACCCAGGCGCCCCTAGAGAACTTTAAAAAGAAAAAAGAAAAATGTATTCCTGGCTACAGTGGATGCTGTGAGCCCGAGGGCAGAGATGTGGTGTGTGTGTGTTCTGAGGAACTGGAGTGATCCATTTTGGGGAGTTAGAGGCAGACACAGTAAGAAGGTTCTGACCAGATTTGAGATTCCTGTCAAGGTATTTTGTCTTTACTGTAAAGGTCATGGGAGCCCTTGATGAGTCTCGAGTGGAGTGTTAACAACAAAAGTGGTTTGTAAGCAAGATTCATCCGAACGTAGCGGAAGGTTTGTTTCTGTGGGAGAGGCTGTAGGAACTTAGAGTAAAATTGATGGGAAGCTTCTGTAATACTTGGCAGTTAGAGGTAAGGAGGGCTCAGACTCCTGTAAGAATGAGAAAGGAATGGATGCACCTGGTATTGGGGCATGAAAGAGAATGAATCAACAGGTCTTGGGGTCTTACTGCATCTGGGACCGGGGGCACAAGAAAGCAGGGAAGAAACAAGAACCTTGTAAGTCACTAAAGCATCACTGATGGAGAAGTCAAACTACTGGGGTTTTAGGTTCTACACACCCCTTACTTTTCTCATGGTGGACATCACTTAGCCACCGTTGAACTGGGTCCTGCACTCACTTCTGCACAAGGTGCATATGCAAGATGGTTCCCATTTTCAAGGCCTAGTCACAGCTACATACACACTGAACGCAAGAATTATACTTATTAATAGTATTCTTGGACGTTTTAGGTTTACTTCTCTCTTTGGAAGTAACTATCTTCTCACAAATAGTGCCCCTGAAAGACGAACGTGAGAAGGACCTCACATAAGATTTGACTCTTACAGTGTTCTCCCTGCATTTTCACGTGACGTCTCAAAGCATGGGTTCCTAGGCTTGCCATGGAAAATTTGCGACTTGTCCGTAGTCACAGATTCCTCCCTTGAAGGCTCATCGGCCTGCTGAGCATCCAGAACCATGAAATGAAGAAGGGCCAAGGTGAAGTGATTCAAAACCAGGGAGCAGAGGGTGTTGCTGAAAATTGGCAGAGAGTTTACTGACTGCACTGTCATTAGTGTAAATGATAGACACTCCCTAAGTAAGGCATTTCAACAGGATTGTCCACACCCTGCCCCAGTTCACTCTCTCTAAAGGTCCTACCTAGACACACTCTGGGAGTGTGGAGGTTTTGGTGAAATAAGTGTGCATGTGACCGGCTGCTTTCAACAGGAGGAAAGAAGTTAACCAAGTCAGTAAAGGAAGTTGAAGTCCCATACCTTCCTGTTAATGTAACGATTAAACACCAAATACTTTCTGAAGGTGTTTATAAACGGGAAAGCACCGTCTAAGTTGGAATCCTGGCTCTAACTAGAATATTTGGTAATGTATTCAACCTCCATTTGCTTCTGTTTCCTTCGCTGCAAAATTGGATGATAGTAACAGTCTCTTCTTCATGGAATATTGATCAAATAAATGAGAAATTAAATGGAAAATAAGTAGACAGGTTCAAAGGAAACAATGAATAAATGTGTACTACTATTCTTATGAGTATCAAATATTTATTTAATCACGTTGAATAATATGGGAACATAAGCTTTTAGAGTTTTGGTTTTCTAAGCCTCAAGGCAGTGTTGTAATTTCTTTTATTCTGTGATTAGAAATAAAGGCATTCATTGTGACGAGCTACTGTAGCGACAGTTTTTGTTTAATTTACACAGTTGTCAAAACAGAGTGTATCCATGTTTTTTGTGGTTTTTTTTTTTAGATTTTATTTTTAAGTAATTTCTATACCCAACATGGAGTTCAAACTCATGACCCCAAGATCAAGTGTCACACGCTCCACCAACTAAGCCAGCCAGGCCCCCCCGCCAGAGTGTAACCATGTGAATTTGAAGAAAAACAAGGGAAACATAGAAAATACAAATAAACTAGAAGGAAGAAAGTCACCAAGTACATGTAACGTGAAAACAATTCCAATACACAGGTAATGAGAGAACATTCATAAAGTGACAATATAAGCTTCACGTGGGGATAATGATGCAATGGCAGTGTCAGGGTGGAGACTGCAGTTTCCCCTTTCCTTGGGGAACCAATGTGCCCACTACCATCACAACATTACCCTAACATGACGTCTTGACATTGTCCATATGTCCTGGGGTGACTCAGTTATAACTGAGAAAGCTGGAGACCCACGGAACTCAATAGCACTCAAAATCATCCAGGGAAGTCATGATTCTGTTTGGTAAAAAACTTACAAATTGGTGGTTGAAGTCTACATTAAAACAAAAATCCGAAGCACCACCTCAGGCAGAGACTTAGCACGAACATATCAAATTGGTGGCCTCCGTTTTCATCGCTCCCAACTTTTTTCCGTCAGGTTGTGCTGCTGTGTTTATCCAAATTAATCGGGGCTATATCCCACTTCGGGGTATAAACTGAGGGTTCAACTCTCCCTTTTGCTGTTTGACAAACACATTAAATAACTTCCATGTCGTTGTACATGGAATTACAAGTGTAAAAATACCATATTTTTCTCCCCGCCCATTTACACCAGATTAAATGCATCATCTAACGAATAGGATGTCTTTGCCTGGAAATGTAAACAAGTGAGGAAATTGATAGGTTCTCAGGAAGGAAATGTTTGTAAAACTATTTTTGCTGACATCATTGCCTGTGGGGACACACCGACAGAGTGGAAGGAAGAAACAGACTGCCCCTGAGAGGAAGAGCGTGTCATCACTGACATTGATTAACAATGTCTGGGTCGGGTGATGATAAAAAGCACAATGACTCTTAGATGGTCTGTTTTGGACTCTTTACACAAATGTGTCCTCCTGTTACCTATACCCAAGACAGATCATTTGATCATCCTCTACATCCTGCCCCCATATGCCACTGATTATTTGTGAAAGGGAATGTTACATTTTAAAGGATTATATGTAGTGTCTGAATGTAATCTCTTGAAGAGTAGTCAGTTTCACATTTTTGTTATGACCATATTTTATTGCAGCAAATTATAATGAAGTCATTAAAGGCACGCTAGATTCAGATGAAACTATAGGAAAGTTATAAATAATCTGGCCTTTTCAAGTTACAGGGAAGGTTATTCAACCTGAGAAACATAAATGTAAACTGCTGTTTTGCGGTATAATTGAGCCTTATCGCTAGAGCAGTAGAAATGCACAAAAACAGTTTTCCTTGATAACTTTGGTGTGCATTCGCTTATTCATTGGACCGATTTTTATTGGACACATGCTAGGTACCAAGCACTGCCCTACAGACTGAGCACACAAAGATGGGTGAGACGCCATTCCTGACCTCACAGAGGTCACAGTTATGTTCAGCAGACTCTCAAACAAATTTTTATAAGTGTGATGAGTGTGGAGACAGAAATAGGGTCCTACAGAAATACCTGGAAGGAACATATACTCCAAACTGGCGGTCACGGAAGGCTCCCCATAAAAGGCAGCACCTGAATTGCATGTTGAATGACAGATACAATAAAGAAATGAGCCGAGCTACCAGACTTCCATTGAGTCTCACCTATATTTAAAAAAATTTTTTTTCAACGTTTATTTATTTTTTTTGGGACAGAGAGAGACAGAGCATGAACGGGGGAGGGGCAGAGAGAGAGGAGAATTGAAACAGGCTCCAGGTTTCTGAGCCATCAGCCCAGAGTTCAACACGCGTCGACCACGACTCCGCGATCGTGACCCGGCTGGTCGACGCTAACCGCAGCTGTGCCACCCAGGCCCCCATCTCACCTATTAGAGCCTGAGAAAGGCTAGAGGTGGAGGGGAAGAAGAAGTGAGCAGGTAAGCCTTTGGTTTCTTTCCTCTTTCTTCTTTTCTTTTTTTTTTTTTTTTTTTTTTTAGTTTAAATAAATTAAATTTTTAAAAAGCTGCAGTCATGGAGCACATCTGGAGTTGTCGATTTCAGCTCAGGTCAGGTCATGACCCTCACACATTTAGGAGATGATTTGGAGCCCATCGCTGGTTTCTCTTGTTGACAGTTTGGAGTTCATGCGCCATTTTCCCCTTCTCTCTCTCTTCTTCTCTGCTCCTCCCCTGCTCATGCACCTGTGCCCACACACTCTCTCTCTCTCAAAAATAAACTTCAAAAAATAAAAACATAAATAAATTGGATTTTTAAAAAGACAGAAGAAGAAAGACGTAGCCAAGCAGTGTATGTGGTGAGATAAATGATAGTCTATCTGTATAATTGAATACTAAGAAGCCATTAAAAATTGTAATAGACTTGATTTACACATCATGGAAGACTCACATATTGGGTAATTTATAAAACAAACACAAACAATAAAACCCTCTATGTAACTATAATAAAAACATGTTTATAATCAAAATATGTCTGAATAGAATTTATATAAGTATGGCAGTACAAAGGCCTAAGAATAGCCAAGACGATCTTGATGAAAACAAAATCGGAAGACTCACTCTACCCAAAATCAGGGTTGATTATAAAGCTACGCTAAATGATACAGTATAGTATTAGCACACAAATAATTTCTTTTAAAGGGACAGAACACAGAGGTCTCACACTTTTTCTGGAAAGGACCAAAGAGTAAACACTTTAGGTCTTGCAAGTATAAATAAATAAATAAATAAATAAGCAAATTTAATATTTTATAAAATTTAACAATGATGGCACCGGATGTCTTATTAAAAAGTAACATCTAAGATCTTCTTACTGGAGTGGGCAGTAATTAAGTACTTTACCTTTTTATCCACTTTGCCAGCTTCACTAACAATTTCTTTGTGACAAAAAAAATTATAGAAGAGAACATGTTTCTAACATCATAAAAGTCATGCAACAAACAACATGTTCAGTTTACTCTTAGTGCGTTGTCTTTCGTATACAGTGAGACAGAGAGAGCTGATGAAATCGGGAGGATGGCCAAGGAAGCAGTTGGGTGTTAAAGAGGAACCAACAGGAGAAGGTAAGGGGTGGGGGAGGAGGAGGGGGAGGAGGGAAGGGGAGGGAGGGAGGAGGGAGAGAACAGAGAGGAGTAGGAAGGAGAGGAAAAGGAGGAGGGAGAAGAGGAAGAGGGGGAGGAAGGGAAGAGAGGGAGGGGGATAGAAGGAGAGGAGGGGGGCAGGAGGGAGAGGAGGAAGGGGGAAGTAAAACAGAAGAGAGGCAACTAGGGAGACCAGACTACAAATGGTCAGTGTTCTTAAGAGGAAAAACACAATGTATGAGATGGACCTCTTCATCTTGAGAGACTCCCCACGGAACCACATGCCAACACATTGTTCTCCAAGAAAGTGATTTCAGCTTACAGTTGATACAGCTAACTTGGGTGGCCAAAATCTCAGAAACACTCCTTACTTGGACTTCTCCGCTTTAGTCTTATGGTGTGCCGTGTCCAACCGTGCAAATTCAGAGCCAGGCAGTCATACTCCACAGATAAGTCTTCTTCTCTCACACGCTCTATTTTTAAAACGGTGCTCAGACAAGTCAACTCATTGCTGGAACTAAGGAGGCAACCTGTTACCTTTAATGCTTGCTTTGCAGTTGCAAATTGTGTGGGAGGAGGAGGGGATGTTTTAACTTCAGTATAAAAATACCTTTGATTTTGCTCCCGGTCCTCGTGAATTCTTGGTTGTCCAAAGTTCTGAACTTTGCTTCCATTCACCTTCCACAGGATGCCGGCCATGATCTGAGAGCCTTTCCCAAAGCAAGCGGAGCAGGGTATGCTTGCTGGTTTTCCTAGATGAGAAGTGAAGAAACTCACCAATAACATTCAGTGCTGCCAGTGGTATTGCATTTAACGTGAAAAAAAATCGTTGAACGCCTGGTGTGTGCCAGGAATTGATTCCATACCCCTTCCTCATCCTTAGCCCTTCTGTGTCCTTGCCTCCACCCACTTTGCTCACAGTTTGGAGGAAGCTCCACTCACACTCCCCTCTCACCTTCCATGGAGACTAAAAAGGTGAATAATTCTGGTTTCACCAATCAGACATTATAAGGTGGGGCTTCTTTTTACTATAGATTGGAATTTTTTTTTAACTTCTTTCTTCCAAACCTTCCTCCTTTTACCAAATTCTCTTCATCTCTCTGTAAGTCACCTTGTCAGTAAAACTATATTTTGCTCGACCCAGCTACAATCCCAGCATTTAATCATTCAAGAGTGCTCTCCATTACTACTCCTTGTACTTGAGACTTCCTCTGCCCAGAACTGAAAGCGTGAGGGCTGCCCTCCTGCTTGGGACACGCATTCAGGCCTCCCTTACTGAGCCCTTGGTTCTGGACTCAAGAATTCTGCATCTGAAGAGGGATGAGGGACGCAAGAGAGTCTCAGAAGATGATAAGGGTAGACACAGATGATTAAAACACAAGGTATTCCACTGTTCTACAGAGAGGTTGACAAATGACATGGAAATGCAGAAGAAGAAGGCATTCCAGACTTCTCTGGACTGCTATGCTGCACACAGAAATGATTTCTTTGGACCTCATTAGATGGAGGCTCTGGTGGTGCCCATGGTAGTAAGGAGGGCGGCATGGGGAATGCTATTTGAACTCAGTGTTGAGAGATGAGAAGGAGGAACAACATGGACAAAAGCAGGAAAGAATGTGGAAATGCTGCCAATCGGTGTAACAAACGTGAGGTGGTCGGTGTGGAGGGGACTCCAAGGCAGGTGGGGTTAATAGCTTCAGATGGGCCAGAATGTAGGTGAAGACTAGTTCATGAAGGGACTTGTTTTATGGACCAAGAACTTGAGTTATATCTAATTTCTAATGGGAAACTAGTGAAGGCAGAGATGGGCAGAGTCAGAAAGCCTTGGTTCTCATCCTTCTATCACTCATTATCCATAACCTTGGGCACATCATTGATCCTACCTGAGCCTAAGTATCCACAAGCATAAATTGGAAACAATATCTACCTCCCGGAGAGAAGTAAGAATGAAATAAGATAGTCTGAACTGCAGTACAAATGTAAGTGCTGGGTATTCCTAATATTAACAAGTGCCCGGTGGATGTTTCTACATGTAACATTTCATTTAATCCCCAAGATCCATCGTGTTAACTGCATGACCCATACTTGGAGAATCCAGACCAAGCGTCATATGGAAAGATTCTCCAGATAACATTTACAGCAGTCTTCAAGTTTTCTTACCAATTTCCACTTCTTTTATTTCATTTTGTGGAGGGGCTATAATTACTGGAAACAAAGAAAAGCCTTCCTCATCTTAAATCAAAGACAAAGAAAATATAAATATTAGGATAACATTGGATGGTCATCAGTATAAAGCTTGTGTTTTCATATTACTATCTTATATCATAGCAATGTTTTTCAAATTTTTCTGACGATGACCCATGGCAACAAATACACACACACACACACACACACACACACACACAGACACACAGAGACACACAGACACAGACACACACACACACACACACACAAATGAAAAAGAAAACATTCAAGTAATACTTTGTCTTATGACTTATGATACTCTTTTATATTTCCTATTCTCTTTTATATCATTAAAACAAATATTAATTAATTAATCTAACACATTAAATTAATTACATGGGTTGGCAATTGCTAGAAAACTACAATTCTACAGAAGAAGCACAACATTACAGGAAAGAAGCTTTCAAAAGTTGCATGAAATGCTAGCATATATAAGGTACTGAATAAATGCTTGTTGAATGAAAAAAAAAGGCCTATGAAAAAGATAAACATGTAAGTCCACACTTCTGCTCAGAGATTTCCACCACTGTGGTCCATTCTGTAAGGAAATTCTAACTTCTGTGGCACTGATGCCTCGAGTCGGGGAAGGGGAGTCTTCTGAAATACTGCTACTTTCTGACGTTCCTTGATTCTCATTTATTTCAGGATCGTGTGATTAAGGACCCCCATGATCTGGTGTTTAATAGTGAGAGACACTAATAACAATGTGGTCTGATGGTGCTTATTTTATATGATAGAGCATCAAAAACCTCCAAAACTTGTCTTCACAATTGCTTTCCACTGAGAAAGCTTCCACACTGACTGGTGCTACTTCATCCTATATCTGTAGATCAAGTGATGCTAAAGAGACCGTGACTCCTTATAGATTTGACATGCTTGACTGTGAGGGATTTCCTCTGAATAGACTTTTATAGACTTAAACATTTGAAAACCAGCTTTTAGGATCAAATTAGCTGCTTGAGGTCATTGATAATGTTGGACAAATTGCAAACCAGGATTATGTGAAATGGAATGGCATCACTTATGTCAAGGGGTTTTGAAATGGAGCCAGGAGGCCATTAAGGAGACGGGCCCATATCCTCACTGGTGGAATCATGAACGTGTAACCTGACTAAACCACAAATATTCCAAGATGAAGCCCAAACATCTGCAAGTTGGTACAATAAAAGACTTTGCTTGTGTGATAGCCTTAGGAACCAATGATATTCAGTGCAGATCAGCCTTCTGCTGCCAACATGCATCAAAATTCTTTGTAAACAATGTATAACAGGCATTCCCTCTTTGCTTTAACAACCCCTGACTTTATGGGGCACCTGAGTGGCTCAGTGGGGTAAGCTCAAGGTCATCATCTCACGGTTCGTGAGTTCGAGCCCCATATCAGGCTCTGTGCTGACAGCTCAGAACCTGGAGCCTGCTTCGGATTCTGCATCTCCCTCTCTCTCTGCCCCTCCCCAGCTCGCATCCTGCCTCTGTCTCTTTCAAAAATAAATAAACATTATTTTTTTTAAAAACCCTGACTTTTGTTCCCTAGTGGGACACTACGTGGGTTCTACCCAAGTCTGAGTACCTCAAATTTACAATTCTTTGATCCTGGATAAACACTCTTGTTTATTCACTGCCTCCTAACAATTTTAGGTTGACAATTAAAAACCACCCAGCAGTATCTCTATAGTCCTTTGTAGCACTTCTAAACTTCTAACCTAGTTAGTTATATTAGAGATTAAACAGATTTTTTTTTCTATTTACAGAGCCTCTGACAACAAACTGGGAGAAGAAGAGTTAATCTTGCTCTCCAAATACTTGTATTATCATACAAAAAATGTTTATTAAGCTGGCATGCAGATCATGCTGTTTTCGAAAAGTGAAGTCATAGAGGAGAGAACCAGTCTGGCTTTAGATTAGTAACATAATCTCCCCCTAAAATTTCTTAAATCTTGATCATGCGTTTAGAAAAGCTCTTTGTGCTATTGTAGAGAATGTGCAAGATAACATGAAGCTGGTGGGCATCTTAGGGACCATGAAGCATAGTAGCTCCCCCGTATCCCCGGGTTCACTTTTCAGGGTTTCAGTTACCCATGGTCCACCTCTGTCCAAAAGGTTTAAATTGAAAATTCCAGAAATAAACAACGCATAAATTTTAGCTTGCTCACGAGAAAATCTCACAATGCCCCACTCTGTCCCACCCAGGAAGTGAATTGTCCCTTTTCCAGCAGATCCACATGATATCTGCCACATGCCCATTAGTCACTTAGTAGCTATCGTGGTTATGAGATTGGCTGTCATGGTATGACACTGCTTGTGTTCAAGTGTGCTTTATATTACTTAATAATACCCCCGAAGCACAAGAGCGATGATGGCGGCAATTCAGAAAAGTCAAAGAGAAACATTAAGCACTTCCTTTAAGTGAAAAGGTGAAAATTCTCAACTTCACAAGGAAAGACAAAAAAATCATATGCTGAGTTTGTCAAGATTTATGGTAACTTTTATTACAGTATATCGTTGTAATGGTTCTATTTTATGACCACTTATTGTTGCTAATCTCTTGCCACATCTGATTTACAAATTAAACCATATCACAGGTATGTATGTATGTGTGAGAAAAAACATAGTATATACGAGGTTCTTCAGTACCATCCCTAGTTTCAGGCATCCACTGGGGGCTTTGGAATTACCCCTGCAGATAAGGGGGTCTTTAGTACAGGAAAATCAACAAGAAAGGCACAGTTTCTCCACATTATTTTTTTAAATAATCAATTTTGTTAAATTCAGTAGCTTACTGTTCACTGTGAGTGATCTGGTCGCTGTCACGCTGTAATTGACTCCATTTTCATTGTGTATAAATTTACATGTATAATCACCCGTGTCCTTGCTAGTTGCACCGTCAATCAGCAAAAATGTCTTGTGTGTGTGATACCTTGGTCCTTGAAGAGCTTTACAATCCTGAAATTAAAAAAACAAAACAAAATAAAACAGAAACCTCCCTTCCATTTTCAGTAACTCTTCACTTGCAGCTATCCTGTGTAATTTTATCTATTTCCCCCAAGTTTCCTTTTACCTTAAACCACTCAATAGGTGCCGTCCAGTTGTACAAGTCAATCGTAGGACAATATATTTTGGAATTTGTTTCTGATCCAAGTGTTGTTGAATACATCAGATGATCTGGAATATTGCAATTTGGCTGTTTTTTATATATGGTGACGTTCACATAGCCAGTCTTATTGAAGGTAGGGCTACCAAAATAAGTCAAACGATTTTAAAAAGTTACTCAGCATTATGAAATAACCTCATCCCATTCTAACTTTTGCTGAATGCTACTTTTGTTATTCAAGCAATTGAGGTACAGTGGTTCTTTCCTTATTTAAAAGTATGTATTGAAATCTAGAATTTTAAATACTTTTTGCGTTGCATTTGAGAGCCAACATAACCTCTGTGGTAGCCCTGAATATTTCCCTCACTATTTCTTTATACACTCTATCAGGTGCCATGCCAAGAACAGGATATTATAAAGATAGTTAGTGTTTATTGAGAGTTTACTATGCAGCATTCATGGTGGTAACACTGTATCAATTTATTCTCATAAGATGCTTTGAAGTGTGCTATATTATCATGTGTATTCTACAGATCAGGAAACAGAGGGACGGACAGAGAAGTAGTTGTTGGCATCACACAGCTAACTAGTGACAGAACACGAATTTGAAACGAAAACTGGTCTGACCTCAGAACCTAGGTGGCCAACCATACACACCCTGCATTCCGATGTAGTTCATCTGACATATTGTATGTACCAAACACAGGTCCAAGATCAAAACATTTAACAATATGTATGTAGGGATAAGTAATTTGCAGGCACACAATCTTACACAACCCTTTTCAGCTTACCTTTCAGGCTTAAGGGACTAGTAACTGCCTTATGGCACCCACCATAGGCCTCTTTGACGCTCAACATCTAGATTACTGGGTCTTTTTTCTGGTTTGTTCCAACCAAAGTGAATGATTGCTCTCAGTTCTCTTGGTCACTAGGCAAGCTAGGTCTTTTCCTAATTGGGCTACAAATTCATTCTTGCAATTCTGCCTCTACATAGTTCATAATCACCCAAACCCCAACCCAATGGTGTTCCTAGAAGGACTCTTCTATTCAAATTGCTTTATAAATTCAACTGTTCCAGAAAGGCCTAGAAAGGGAAGGACAGTGAGGACAGCTCAGACCATCAACTATCAAAGAAAAGGGAGCAAGCCCAAAGAGTATGGGTGGCTGCCTGGTACCTTCTGATAATGCAAGTATAAATTCCAGAATCGTTGACTTTGGCCGGGAGAAACTTAAGACGTTCCCCTGAGGCAAGTACATGATTTCTTTTCTGGGTAGTGATACATTTGTTGGTTTTTGAGTAATACCAATCCACAGGGTATCGAGATCGTCCTTGCCTAGGACATCTCACGATTAAAGCCTCATTTTCCAGGCCCCAGGATGATTTGCCTGCCCAAAACAAAACAGAAACCATCAATATGATCCTGAAGTGATCATCATCTAAAAACATTATAATTCCTATATTCTATCCTTCTAGGATGAAATTTAGAAGTGGGCTATTCATGGGGCGCCTGGGTGGCGCAGTCGGTTAAGCGTCCGACTTCAGCCAGGTCACGATCTCGCGGTCCGTGAGTTCGAGCCCCGCGTCAGGCTCTGGGCTGATGGCTCGGAGCCTGGAGCCTGTTTCCGATTCTGTGTCTCCCTCTCTCTCTGCCCCTCCCCTGTTCATGCTCTGTCTCTCTCTGTCCCAAAAATAAATAAACGTTGAAAAAAAAAATTAAAAAAAAAAAAAAAGAAGTGGGCTATTCTTTGTGACACTTTCACTGAGAAAGAACAAGTAAATGATTAAGATGTTTTATGAAAGGTTTTAATGGGTAGCACAGACGAATGAATCAACTTGGAGCTCAACCCCCTCACACTGGCCCCAGGGGAGAAGCAGCCACATCTACGTCTACAAAGCCTACGGCGGGACAGCAAATGCTTGCAGCACCGGCCGTGTGCAGGCAGCATGTTAAAGTTCGATGTATTTAAATACGTAAAACTAAAAGCATGCTGTATTCTGAAGAATTTGTCCCGTTAGATTTGCAATAAAGAATGGTCGAGGAGCATAAACGAGTTTTCCAGGTTCCGATTCGACTGGAGCAACCAGGAACAAGCGGTGTGAAACAAGGCAAATGTTTTGGGGATTACTTAATTTAAAATTTTAACAATTTTCACTGAAGAGCAATACTTACTAAACTTAGCTGCTGTGGAATGTACCAGAATTGTTGAAAGTGCCAAGGCCCAAAGTCGCATTGTCAGTTCTTCAATCCAGAGCAAGTGTTGGTAACTAACTGTTGAGATTATTCAAGGCGAATCCGTGACATGTGATGGTAAAGGTCTCTCCTAGGAGGTAGACGGTGGCCCCTGAAATTTATAGCTGGAAAGCGGTTTCACTGTCTCAACTGAAACATAAATCATACAAAATCACAAGCAAAGTATTTATTGCCAAGATTTTTGCTATTTCAATACCCCCCCCCCAGGAGAGTTAATCAATCAACAGCTATTTATTAGATATAAATATGTATCACAGCAGGGTTTCAGGCATGAAGCACTGCACTTATTCCTACTGAACCTTAGGGTCATGTGGGCCTTACACGGGTCACGCTGTTTCATAGTATCATGAGAATGTACTGGAAGAAGCTGAATTAGGAGGAAAGAAAACTAGTTTCCATTTTTGAAACAAATAAAAACTATAAAATTCCACAGACCCTAGAAAATACAATATTATAAGTGGTAACACAAAACCACACATTTCCACCCAGGCTGGGGCCTGCCTGCACACAGGCATGACCCACTTGTAGGCACACATGCAAAGAGTCATCACAAAGCAGTTAAAATTATAGGAGAGTGACAGGGAAAACCTTAATCAAGTAATTGTCCTAAGGTCTACACCAAACCCTCAAAAATGCACCCCTGCCTCAGTTTGTCCCCAAGCTTCACCAAAGTTATTTCAAGAACAGTCAAAGGTCTGTGCAAAATAATTACATACTTTTCTTTTTTCTTTCCAGCAAGGGAATCATTTAACTAGGTGGTTTTTTTCTTAAAAAGTCAGGGAAGGGAATTGAACTAATAGAAAAACTGACCAATAGATCAACTGACACAACAGCCCTTAATATAATACTTCAAGGAAGCACATTTCCTGTAAACATCAATCTTTTCTTATTATGTGTATAGAAAAGTTGTTATTGTAAACTTTAGATAAGTAATTGATGCTTACCCAAAGTGAAGGACAGAAGGGAAGGGACTCCAAGTCAATGACTGAGCTAAGAACAGCTTCCACCTCTTCTGGCTCCTTCCTTGAAGAGTCCTCAGGTGCATGAACTCTCTCTTTTATTTTGAAGGGGAGGCAGCCAAAGACATCCTACCATTCTTCACTCCTCCCACGATGAAATGCGATTTTTTAGCCAAAATCCATGACTTGTTCAAAAATACTGGTGCATCATGTACCAAGAATTTTTGTCCTTGTTACATAAATATTTAAACATAATGACAACATTGAGTAATCCCTTTAGAGGAAGTAATCCTATCATCTCCCCTTGGTTTGGCATCAGTTTCTCAAGCTAAGTAATGCTTGTCTTTTATTGCCCTAATAATATTTTTAACCAATTTATTTATTTTGAGAGAGAGAGAGACCACGTGCGCTTGAGCAGGGAAGGGGCAGAGAGAGAGACAGAGACAGAGACAGAGACAGAGACAGAGACAGAGAATCCCAAGCAGACCCCATGATGTCAGCGCAAAGCCGGATCTGGGGCTCCAGATCATGAACCTTGGGATCAGGACATGAGCAAAAATCAAGAGTCAGAGGCTTAACGGACCGAGTCACCCACGTGCTTCTGTTGCCCTGGGACTACTCAGCTGATTCTAAATGATCTTGAAATCTTGGGGCCTTAAGTCTGCCTTTCCCAATATCCCTTGACACTTCAGTTGGCAGACATTAGCTAAGCATGCTCATCCAGTTTGGAGAGCTTTGGTGCAGAGAGTTCCAAAAGCAAATGAGGGGAAGCAATGAGAAGTAAGCCAGGCTTTATGGAGGTTTGTAAATGCTTTGCTTATGGTCCAGACTCATCCAAAAACAGATTCCAGCTTCTGGGCTCCTCACATGTAAGTCCCTGTAAGGATCTCAGTTTGGATGGAAAAGGGAAGTTTTTCTAAGGAGTTCAGGGACATAGAGATAAATTATGAGTAAGAAGGCTCCTCAAGGGGCCTGATAAAGAACACCATAACCTTCAACCCTTGGGCTCCACGTAAAACAAATGTTAATTGCAAAATTAGATTTCAGCTACACGCAGCTGAAATGCTCTATTATGAGTAAATTCAACTCACTTTTAAAACCGACTACATCCCAGAAGCATTCAGGGATTAACTGCAGACCGGTGTCATAACATAACAATAGTTGAGCTCTCTCTCGAACTCGCTCTATGCCAAGATACAGTTCTAAGTGACTTAACATTTGTTAACTCCTTCACTGTCACAACACCCGAGAAGGCAGGTGCTATTATTATTACTATTCCTGATTTACAGAGAAGGACACCGAGGCACAGAAGAGTTAAGCAACTTGGCCAAGTCACATGCTGCTAAGACACAGAACCCAAGCAGGTGGGCCTTAAAGACACCTAACCACTAGGTCACACTGCCAGTGGGTGAGCAAGGTGAGGAGGTGTTGCTAATGAAGAGTTCTAGTAGGTTTTCTTTACCCCACACTGTGGCTGGCAAAGCTCTTGCACAGGCTTGCCTACGTGCTTGGGGATACAGTCATAGTTTGGACATTGGCCACGTGCTCCGAGAGGAAGAAATGCAAAGACCTGTCACGGCTAGGAGATTTACCCTGAGATGTTTCACGTAAATTCGGGGAATTGGGTCTGCTTATCTCTACCCTCCTCTTAGTTGTCCAGACTCTTATTATCAAGATCGTATGAGTTTCATACTGACACTACAGAATCAGGAGCAAGTGGGCTTGGAACAGTGCCCAGGGTGTGGTTAAACTCCAGATAGCATTTTGTTACATAAAATAGCATGAACTTGAAAGTTCTCATACATGAATATGAGCTTTTATTTTGCATACTAATATATGATTCAAAAAGTTTTATTAACTGTAGGCATTTTTCATGAGACCAGACCACATTTGCATTGGTTTCCTAGTTTCAAATAAGATTTCTTAGTTCAGGGGCACCTGGGTGGTTCAGTCAGTTGAGCGTCCAACTTCAGCTCAGGTCATGACCTCATGGTTGGTGAGTTTGAGCTCTACATCGGGCTTTGTGCTGACAGCTCAGAGCCTGGAACCTGCTTTAGATTCTGCGTCTCCCTCTCTCTCTCTCTGTCCCTCCCCTGCTTGTATTCTCTCACTCTCGTTCTCTCTGTCTCTCAAAAATAAATAAACATTAAAAAAATTTTAAAAAGATTTGTTAGTTCAAAATAAGGTTTAGGGGTTCCTGGTGGCTCAGTCAGTTAAGCATCCAACTCTTGGTTTCAGCTCAGGTCATGATCTTGCAGTTTGTGAGTTTGAGCCCCACCTCAGCGCTGCGTTGGCAGCATGGAGCCTGCCTGGGATTCTCTCTCTCCCTCTCTCTCTGCCCCTCCCACTGTCTCTTTCTCAAAATAAATAAATAAACCTAAAAAAAAAAAAGGTTTCAATTAGAATTTTAATACAGTCATGAAAACTTACAGAAGCATTTAGTAAAAATCTAACAACTATTGTAAGATAATCAACTAATCCATTCAACAGTAAAGTCCTGGGGCACCGGGGTGGCTCAGTAGGTTAAGTGTCCACCTTCGGTTCAGGTCATGATCTCATAGCTCATGAGTTCAAGCCCCGCATCGGGCTCGGTGCTGACAGCTCAGAGCCTGGAGCCTGCTTCAGATTCTGTGTCTCCTTCTGTCTCTCTCTGTCCCTCCTCTGCTCACACTCTGTCTCGCTGTCTCTCAAAAATAAATAAACATTAAAAATTTTTTTTAGAAATTATAAAAAATAAAGTCCTTTCATCTAAAGTACAGTACAGCATGCCACTTATCATCAACGCCCTTCCAATTTTACAGATTAAAATAAAACCCATGGCTGAGACTGGTTAAATCATTAGACCAAGTTCATCCACTTGTGGCTAGGGTTAAAACCAAATTTGTTGAACCTCAAAGCCAAGGGTTTTTTTTTTTCTTTTTTTATTCAATGTCAACTAAAAAAGAGAAAGAAGACAGCAGCAAAGCTTTCTTTCTTATAATTATGACTGGGTTATTAAACAAAAATAACCTAGTCTGATTTCCTGAAAGTTTCTTCTTTATAAATCACTAAGCCACTTTGGCTTCTGACCACCAAGACCCCATCCAACATAAAAGTATAGTATTTTATAGCAACTTAGTAAGACAAAATGTGAAAGGCAAAGACTTCTAAAAACCAGAATTTGGGGCACCCATAAGTTTCTGTCAAGAAGAAACTTTTCTTTTTATTATTATTTTTTAGTGATTATTTGTTTTTGAGAGAGAGAGAGAGAGAGAGAGAGAGCATGACAGGGGAGGGGCAGAGAGAAAGGGAGACACAGAACTCGAAGCGGGTCCCAGGCTCCACGCTGTCAGCACAGAGCCCGATGCCGGGCTCAAACTCATAAACTGTGAGATCATGATGTGAGCTGAAGTCGGATGCTCAACCGACTGAGCCACCCAGGCGCCCCAAGTTAAGGAGAAATCTTTCAATGTCTGCTTGTTTCTGTAGTGGATACCCTCTTCCTCTTAAGATTTCTCAGAACTACTCTCCATTTTAAAAAATTAATCTAACCCAATTTGGCCATAACTGCTTTCTGATTTTTTAGTTTAGCCATAATTTTCATCTGATTTGGGGTTATAGTTTTGAAATCTCACGTGTCCCTATTTCTAATCTAATTCTCTGACATTTCTGATAAAAAATTAACAAAGCCCAAAAAACCCTTTATTTCCAGAGTAACAGCTAGCCACTTGCATTTGGACCGTGGCACTCAAATACTGCCTAGCTTAGGAGATATCTTGCAAGACTTCTCCATTTGTCTTGTCCGGTGTCATAATTAGATCAAGATGTATGTGTCACACTCCAGAAATGGCCATGGTCTTACTGTAAACCATGTCAAAAGCCAGGACATTTTGTCATGTTACACGCATGTGAATCCAAGTGGGTCAGGTTCTCAGTAATTCTCACAGGAATAAGCAAAGAGGAAATCTTCCCCCCATTTTATTCGAGAGATTTAGGATGCCACGTTCCTCCCATTCTCCCAATGGGGTGTTCGTAGGGCCTA